TTTTGCATTGTTATTGGTTGTGACAGTAGTATATGCACGGTTCTCTCTATCATATCTTCCATTAAATGACTTTCAATCTGCAGGTTTAGCATGTAATTTCTAATATTTTTCCTTAGCATCACCAGATTTTTTACGATGATCGCACCATGGTCGTCTCTTCTAGGGCTTGTTACTTGGAGACAAATTTTGAGTATATAAGGTAGATCCTTCAACAGATAGTGTAAAGTAATTATCTATCATCATCAACTTCTTTTTTTCTCTCCTCACTTCAAACTTCTACAAGGGCTTCCTGTGTGGTATAGATGGTTTTAATTTCTATGATTCATTTCCTAACTTCTAAATCTTTATGTAGTCCAAGAAGGAATTTGATGGTTCTTTTTTTGTTTAGTAATTCTTCTATATAAGGCAAAGTCATCCGTGGATTTTCGGGAATGAACTTTGTACATGTCCAGTTGTAGCCAATAGTGAGTGTTGAAATATTGACACCACTCAATTCCCTTTGTCGTAGGTCATGCAGTTTGGTCTCAATCTCAAATAGCTCTAAAGATTTTTCAATGCTAGGGGGTAAGTTTCACGTGCGGCTTCCCATATCTCTTTGATTTTCTTTCAAAGTATGAAGTTTTCTCCAACCACCGTGGTCATGGAATTTATTAACTATGGCATAACCATGTGGTTGTCAGTTTTCTAGGCCCAGTATTTTGAGAAAGTTATTTTTGTAGCTAAAATTTTACCTGTGAGATGTCATTTCCTTTGTCACAGATGTACATGAAGATAGGTTGTGACAATTAAAGGAATTTATGGCCTTGCAGTTTATGACTCGTTACTACGTGAGAGGAGTTTTCAAGTACGGTAGGGAGGGAAGACATGCTCGAATCAGGGTGTAACTTCCGAAGAAGAAGATTGTGATGTCGTGTCGTGTTTGACCATCATAAGATTGTGATGTTCAAATCGAGAAGATCAATTGTTGAAACGTAAAATGAGAGGTCTCTTAGTTCGAATGTTCGATTGGACAAGTGAACATGAACTATAGAGAGATGCGCAACTCTCGGTTTTCAAGTGTTCAACAATCGGTGAGAGGAAGAGATCGGGTCGTTTGCAAGTCGTTTGAGGTGGAGGCTAGGGAAATTCGAATTGTTCAGCGACCGAAGCAACAACAACATTATAAGAGGTTGAGATGATGAGCCAATTTGCTAAAATCAAAAAATTTGATCACATCTATGATGCACAAACTGACGCATGAATGAAAGGACTCAAACGACAGCAGTGTCGTGGAAGGACAATGACTAGAAGATTTTCGTCTCAGACAACATCAACCGACTCATGCTATGAGAGGAGATGCTTATTTGATCCCGTTTGAACGAAAGGATCGGACGAGTGTTCAAATAAAGCAGACAATCAATCGAGGTGTTCGAACAAAACGTACGAGCAGGGAGGAGATTTGCGATCTGATTCGGGTGGCGAAGCAAAGACACCACGCGGAAGAGCCAGTTGTCGTGTCAGAGAGGAAACAATGACCCCGAGTGTGCGTACGTAAGGATGGCATCCAACGATAACTTCATAGATTTTTATGAATCTATCCTAGTTGACGGTGGGGAATAAGGCTGCAGCCTAACGAAATTGATTTCAGGTCTTTGATATACCTTTGTAAATATATATAATAAAGAAAGGAAACCAAATAGGAGTTCCTCAAAATAAGAAAAACAAGAAACGGAAATATCTAATATAAGAAACACAATTAGTTAAGTATATTTTGAAGAAAGGGAATAAATTACTTCCTAATGTGGGTTAGAACTCTCCAACAGTAACCAGAGAACATTACAACTTTTGATGAGTTATATAATAGGCTTGGTACTATAATTGGAGAAACATAGATATAGAATATGTTAGGTATGAGATACAAAGTATATGGATTTTGATCAAGTCAAATGCATTAAAAAAAATGTTTCATAATCTTATTTAAAGACTAAGAAAATCAATGAAAGATAGTATTGTTAGTTTGAGAATGTATTAAATGAGATTTTCAAAAAAGATTCTTTTTAAAGAGTATAATGAATAAAAAGATGAGTATTATGAATTAATAAAATAAATATACATCTCTAAATAAAATGCATAAAGGTAAAGCTTTAGGTTTAGATTAGATATTTATTGAATTTTGAAAATTTTGGCACTACTGTAATGGTTTATTTATCCATTTTTTTTTTCAATTGAATTTTGAAGACTAACGTTGATTAATAAATAATCGAAGAAGAATCTTTTTTATGCCAATATGTAAGGATAAATGCGATACTTAAAATTATGGTAATTATAGAGTAAGATTTTTGAGCTATTCACTGAAGTTAGGTTGATAAACTAATGGAATATGATAATTTCTAATGAATAAAATTTATGAGTCATATAATGAAACTAGATGATAAATTAATGGAACATAGAATGTTTACATCAATTTTTGAAAAACATGTGATCGCATATGAGGGAGTTCAGTTATGGAAGTGATCTTTGTGTCAGATAATCAATAAAAAAATTATAGAAAGTAAAGAAATTATATTCAAATGATTTTATTGATTTTGAGATCAAGCATCAAAATAATTGAGTAGTTGCGCATTATGAAAAGAATATGTTATTAAAACATGCTGAAGTTATTAAATATATACTTGATAAAGCACTTGTTCATATTAAAAATAGTTGTGCATTGATTAAAGAATTTTTAGTTGCAACAAGATTACATCAAGTATCATCATTGAGTTCATCTCTTTTTTGTTAGTGTTGAAAGTATTTGCTAAAGATATTATTGCTGAGAGGTGCCTTGTTGTATGCTTTGCAGATGACAGTTATAATAAGTGAGATATCTATTGATATAAGTGAGAAGAACAATGAAAAATGTATTTAGAAAGTAGCAGTCTTAGAAATGATAAAAGAAAGATAGGATTTATAATATGACATTTTACTGTTTGTGATATTAACAGTTATTAATGGGTATTATTAGAAGATAAAGTGATACTTAGTTGTGATATGTTTATTTATTTTTGTTTTATTATTTAGAAGAATGGGGATATAAATGAGGATACATCTTCTAGAGTTATAGCTGCTTGGTTAAAATGAATCGCTGTGGGACTAGAATGCAATAAGAAGATATTATGTAGATTTGATGGTTAATTTTATTAAATTGAAAGCATGTTGGCGATTTTGTTTGTATTTAACTATTAGGCAACAAAAAAACATTGATAACTGTCGGTCAACTTTAAGTAGTTTGAACATATAATGAACGGGAGGAAATCCATCATAATAGACTAGTTGATAAAATTATTGTCAAAATTAGGAAGAAGGGATTAACATAAGGGAACATGTATGGAAACTGTTCAAATTTATTTGTGATGAATGCATCACCTCTAGTAGCAGTAAAAAATAATGAGTTTTACATGATGATTCATAAATTAGACGCCAGATAGTTGGGACTAGGTTAATGGTGATTGTGATATTACACTGCAATTTCTCTATAAATTAGCAAATTTCCATTATTTTTTTTCTTAAATATAACTTTTAACTTGATAAAATGATGTAGTGTATCTATGTGCTGAGAATCCAGTAAGTTCAACTTTGTGGCAATTGGATGTTTTGTTGCTATCTCGTAGATTTTAGCAATGCGTTCTTTCATGTGCTTTGTATTGTAATACATGATATATTATTTCCTTTCATGTTAGGTTTGGGGATGCACGCTTCGCCTTTTAGATGGATGTTTACCATTTTTAGAACTTTTAAAATAATTGAAACCATTGTCCAACATGATCTCAAGTACTTTTAAAATAATTCAATCACCAATCAGATGAATAAGAGAAGTTTCTTAATCTACATTCTTGATTTCATGAGAAATTCGTTATGGTTTTTTTGTTTGAAGTATTTTAAATGGATTAAAATTAATAAAGGATAATTACATTTAGACGACCTGAAACATTGATATTTTCAAATTAACCACTCGGGTGATTTTTTTGAACTATTGAACTTATACTTGTTATATTTGTCACGATCAAACTATTGAGAATTTGATAAAAATGAAAAACATGGGTTGGGGTTTTAGTATGAATTTTCATATTTGAGTGAGAATTTGAAAAATGAATGAAAGAGGAAGTTTCAGGTTGTTATATGTAATTGTCCCACTTAATAAAATTGGTTATTGATGTCACATTTGAAGTTGATTTGATAGTATTGATTTGTAAAATACATGGTATTTAAACTTTTAAAGTGGCTTCAAAATGGCTTTTCATCATCTTTATTTCTTTTGCATGCTTGATGAACGGTTTAACTGCTTACAAAAAGAGGAAACTTTGTTTTTTATAAGTAACTCATGTTTTTGATGCGCTGTTCTACTGTTTTGTCCCATTAAAAGATAGTATGCTTTCTTCTGGTTATTTTACAACTTACTTCTTTTTAAACTCAACATATTGTATTTTCCTTGATGCCGCTTTTATTAGTTACGAAGTTCAACTTTATTATGGAGCAATGTTCTCTTTATATATTATTAGCCTCAATTAAACGTTTTTGTTAGATGTTAGCATGATTAAAAAAAAATAAGAATCCACGCTTTGTTGATATATATATAACCGGCTGATTTTTTCCATTGAAAACTTTTCTAGTCTTAGTACCTTATACCGCAATTAACATAAATGTGTAAATATCTCATCAACAAATGCTGTGTAATTATTCAAATGCTGTCTTTTACTCAGTCTATGCTATTGCTTGCATGCTATTATGAATTTTTTTTTGTGGCATATGCATACACACCCCCCAATTCCCGTGCATTTTCATAGATGTCGCCTTACCTATGCATGAAAAAGATGAATTTTGCTTTTTAAAAGTTATAATGGTGATATTTTTTATGTGATATGAAATTTTGGGTGATAGAAATGTAGAAAGTGAAGTTTAGATGTTAGATATGTAAATATATAGAAATTCTTTGGATGGTTTAAACTTCAAATATTTGAAGTTGATAAATAATTTTCATGCAGTATGATGAAACCAAAGCCCAAGAAACGTTAGAGCGTAAAATAGCAAGGGCTCCTCCTGAACAGGGAACGGTCAGGATGCTTTCACGTGAGGAGTGGGATGAAATCCAGGAAATCAGACCAAGGACCCCGTTTGAGTCTGAGCTCGCTCGCCCTAATGCACGCATTAGAACCGGAGAGCCAATTCGCTTGGTTAGTTGCCCCCACCATATTGAAATAAAATTTCAATCAGCTTCATTGCAAATTTAGTTCATTAAATATTGTCTTTTTTTTTTCTTTTTTTCTTTTTTTTTTTTAATCGGGCAGGGTGAACACTTGAATCCGACATTTTTGAAATTCTTCATTTTGTTTCCATTCAATGTGCTATGCATTTGATCAGCAAATACTTTTTAGTTGTTTCTCGAGTTGATAGTTGATGTAAATTATGTAAATAGAAAAGGGGCATTTACATGCATACCACCCAATTCCTATGTATTTACATATCTAACGCTTAAGTTTTACTTTTCACATTTATGCCACCTATTCTCTCATATCACATCAAAAGTATCACCATTTTAAATTTCAAACTGTGAAATGCACTTTTTCATCCTTGGGTAAGGTGGCATATATGTAAAAATTGAAGTTTAGGTGTTCTATATGTAAATACATAGGATTTGAGTGGTATGCATGTAAATCTTTTACACACATACCACTGAACTCCTATCTATTTATATATCTAACACCTAAATATTGTTTTTTACATCTCTATCACCCAATCTCTCATATCACAAAAGAGAAATCTCTATTTGAACTTTAAAAATTTTAGAGCAACTAGAACATAAGCACAGTATGCTGTTGTGCAAAGTATCTGGAGTGCTAATTGATATTCGTTCTGTGCAGGAGGATTTGAAGGACTGGACCAGCGATGTATTCGCTCATGCTCTTACCAGAGCTGAAGGAATTGTAAAGCGGAGTTAATATAACAAATATCCATATTTGTCTCTTAAGGTTCTGGAAGTTTAGTTGCTTTAGAAAGTGAAGGATTTTATTTTCAGTCATTTTGGGCATGAAATTAAAAATTCGAATTTCAAGCGATTTGTTAGTTTGAACTTTGTATGTAATTTTATTGTTTTTTAATAAAGTATGATTTCTAAGTTGATAAATGTATTTGCTGATGATCTTACCAGAGCTGAAGTACACCAGATGGGGCAGGTTTTAAGCCTTGTTAACTTTTGATGTATGGTTGAAATTGCAGGCATGAGTTCCTTTCTGATTACTGCGGAATGTTGTACATGACTATTCTTCCATATGGCTCAGGAAGTTAGTTAACATGCAGGAGTTGATATACGGACCACAACGCGATACACTGGCAGAAAATAATAATAATAATAATCTTGCTGGCGTATCGTGTCTGTCGTCCGTACGTAGTTCGCGTATGAACAACGTGCGCAAACTTTTCTCGGAGCTAATGGCTTGATTGTTGGTTATTTCCTCACGAAAAACGTCATATTTATTACATAAATTATTTATATAATAATATATTATATTTATTTGTAATATATTTTAAATCATAACACCTCATGTGGCAATGTGGTTAGTGTCTTCTTCTGTAGATTTTTGAAAATGGTAAAAAAAAAAAAAAAAAAAAAAAGTTAGTTAACGTGCAATGATTAGTGTTTTTCTTACAGGAAATGATCTAAAGTCTGTGTATACATAAATATATGTATAATTCATTAAAGATAAAATTTATTTTTCAAAATATTTTATAAGGCAACATGTTTTTTAGTTTATTTTAAATTATACTTAAGTAAATATATTTATTTTTATAATGGTTTAGAGTAAAATAATTGTAGTGGGATGTTTGTTATATTTTTAATAAATATAATATATTAGTTTAAAAATTTAATGAATAAGACTATAATTTGGCCTATATAATTTATTGATAATGATGGTTAAAATTTATATATGTTTTTAGTGGCGGCACAGGATAATTTTTTTTCTTATTTGGTGTGGGGCTGACATTGACAAATTTAACTGAAGCATTTAGATGAGGACCATATTCAATAGTAGCACGATTTAATTGTTTTTAAAAATAAAATTAATGTGCCAATTTTATTTCATTTGATTTTCATTAAGGCACTAAATTAATTGTATATTCTTGCGTATTTATGTTTCAATTTTTGAGACTGATCCAAAAAAAATAAAAAATAAAAAATAAAAAATTTGGTTAACGTGCAATGATTAGTGTTTTTCTTACAGGAAATGGTTGTATACATAAATATATGTATAATTCATTAAAGATAAAATTTATTTTTCAAAATATTTTATAAGGCAACATGTTTTTTAGTTTATTTTAAATTATACTTAAGTAAATATATTTATTTTTATAATGGTTTAGAGTAAAATAATTGTAGTGGGATGTTTGTTATATTTTTAATAAATATAATATATTAGTTTAAAAATTTAATGAATAAGACTATAATTTGGCCTATATAATTTATTGATAATGATGGTTAAAATTTATATATGTTTTTAGTGGCGGCACAGGATAATTTTTTTTCTTATTTGGTGTGGGGCTGACATTGACAAATTTAACTGAAGCATTTAGATGAGGACCATATTCAATAGTAGCACGATTTAATTGTTTTTAAAAATAAAATTAATGTGCCAATTTTATTTCATTTGATTTTCATTAAGGCACTAAATTAATTGTATATTCTTGCGTATTTATGTTTCAATTTAAAAAAAATTATAACATTAATCTAAATAATTTAAAATTTAATTATTTTTTATAGTATTAACTAAAAACTATTTAAAACCTAAGTAACAAAATGAAATAATAAAAAAATTTACATGCATAGCACTCAACTCCCATGTATTTACATATCTACCAGCTAAACTTTAATTTTACATAAAATGTGTATTTCAATATTTCACTTTTCTTTTTCTTTTTTTTTTTTTTGAAGTTAAAATGATGACACTTTTGATAATATATACCACTTGAACTTGAAGGAAAATTTTATAACATAGTAGTGATACTTGCAATGTTTTATGGTGGAGAATGTTAGCCTTTGAAAGTGAGCATAAAATAAAGTTAAGTGTTGCTGAGATGAGAATGCTTAGGTGGATGAATGGCTTGACACAGAGACAAAATGCGAAACGAATTTATCTGTGAAAGGGTTGGTGTAGCTTAATTGCAGTTGGTTTGGTCACAATAAACGTGAGCTGCCAGAAGAACCAGATTAAGGGTCTGTTTGGGGCAGCTGCAGCTTATCCAGCTCCTGCTGATAAACAACTTATCCAGATAATCTGCTGATGGGCAGCTGATCCAGATAATCTATCTGGCTGTTTGGTTAGTGTGTTTTGAGAACAACTGATTCTGGAGAAATGACCAATCTGCCTCTGTTCTGGATAAACTATTGAGCTGTTTGGTTCGTGCGTTTTGTAAACAACTTATTTGCAAATTTTTTATTTGAATTAATAATATGTGTAGTAGAATAAGTTATTTTATCAACAAAATTAAAGATCAAATTTTAAGACACGACAATACAAATAAGTATAGCTACATTTATATAACTCAAATATATCTGAACACAAATAAGTAGGAATTGAAGCACTCGAACCAGATGCGATGTTTTGAAATTTTGATATCGACGAAATTTGAACAGCGGTGTCCAGTTCGGATCTCATAGAAACATACTCACTGTCGGCCCACCTGAAGAATTTGCAGTCCTTCTGTCGTTACAAAGGTCGAGATGTGTCTTTCAAGTGATGTGCCAATTGATGTATTGTAAGATGATTAATATTATTGTTTGAAAAAATCAATCTGTTCTCTGATTTTTTCTTTTAAATTATAGTGACTTCTACCAAAAAATAATTTCTTAATTTTAAATTGATTGACTTGTAAAACCAATTGGAACAACATAGCTTGCAGTGACCAAGCACCTTTCTTGCAGAAATAACATAGTTCAATAAATCTTAACCGCCACAGTTCCAAAAAATAACATAGTTCAATAAATTACACCACAAATGAAAATAATAATAATTTTATGAAAATTCAAAAGTATCAATACCATCATAGTTCCAAGAGTATAATAAATCTTAAGCATTACTAATTCAATTTTCGTCAATTCTTTCAAAGCAAAGGTGTGGCTAAAACTGACATTTTAGATAAATTTGAATTTGTAACTTCAATGCATTAATTATTGTATCAAACATTAAAGAAAGTTGTGTAGTACAAAGTGATTAGAATGAGTTCCAATTTAAGTATGTAAAAAAGGAATTCTTGGTAAGAAAAATGATGGGGTAATTGAACAGTCTCCTAAATATTAAAACATAATAGAACGAGGTCGAAACTAAAATTGAGACAGAATTGAGACAGACTTGTGTTTTTCATATGTTATGCTCATAGCATTACCCCTATGCATAAGAAATCAAGTGTCTGCAACTAAAATACCCAATTTTTTTTCACAAATGATACGTACATCAAACATAAATAACAACAAAAATCACCAAATCACGGAGCTGATAAATTCAAGGAATATGGTCGACAAATTATAAATAACCAATTTTTATCCCCAAAAAATGAGAGAGAGAGCTCCCTGATTGTGGTCAGATATATTTTAGAACCTATAAATGAAATGGTCTTTAGATTTGTTCACCAATTAAAGTATTGCTCAAATGAAACCACAAAACAAGCATTGATGGAAAACATACAACAAATTTCTAATCAAAAGCAAACTAATCGAATAGAAATGCAAACCGTATACCTTTTTCTTATGATTTACGCAAAGTTAAAATGTACAGCAAAAAAAAGAACAACAAAATGACAATCAAATTTCAGTAATGAAAAGAAAAGAGGGCAGACAAAAGAGACGTAGAGATTGCAGGCAAAGTGAACATCAACATGTAAGAAAGGAAAATGATCATCTTGGTCGTCCTTTAGGATTCTCTTCGCCAATTTGTAATCTTGAACTCCGTGTGATGGCGAGAGGCGAGGGCGAGAGGTGTCACGGGAGGAAAAAACTTAAGAACGGTACTTCAATACGCGTGCCGCAGGGACTATCCCGCGGTCGCGTCTATTAAAGAAATGAAAACTGAGTTTTTCATTAATCTATCCAAACGCAATAAACAAGCGGACTGACGGCGTTTTCAAAACGCCACCCGCAGTTATAAGCTGCCCCAAACGGGCCCTAAGAGAGTAGATGTTTTAGATTCAACTTATGTTAAGAAAGATAAGGGTAGACCTAAAAACTTAGCATATTGTATAAAAAAATTCTTAATTTATTATAATTAAATAAAAATATGGCAATCAATAGAACTCAATGGAGAAATATTTCCCCCGGGTCTTATATATAGTGCATTATATATATATATGCGTAAGAGCTAATGTTGTATCAAATTCACTCAATGGAGAAATATTTCCCCCGGGTCTTATATATAGTGCATTATATATATATGCGTGAGCTAATGATGTATCAAATTCGAATTGTTATCCATGGGATTATTTAATCAATCGGCTGATTGAATTTCATTCTTATCCATGGGATCTAATGTCCACATGAAGCCCAGCTGCCGAGCATCAATTTGCCTAGCAGGTTAAATTTAGTTTGGTAATATAAGAGATTAGCAATCAGCAAGCGGACTAGTTTGTTTCAGAAAATTGCTTCAAAATTTCCAATATTAATCAAGGAAATATTTAAAAAAGTGCCACCCAATTCCTATGTATTTACATATCTAACATCTAGACTTCAAATTTTACATGCAATGCCATCTTAACTTTACATGAAAAAGTACATTTCACTTTTAAAATTTTAAAATGCATCTAGACTGAAATATTAGACGTGATATAAAAGCTTTGAGGGATAAAAGTGTAAAAGTGAACTTTAGATGTTAGGCAATTGGGCGGTATGTATGTAAATGCCTCAAAATTAAAATATAAAGATTTTTTTAAAAAACATGAATGTCGCACTTGACTTTATTCGAAAGAAGAAAAAGAATTTACATTCCAACAATAAAATAAAAACTACAACATACGAACAAACAACCAAAAAAATATACAAGTGACATGCAAACAGCCAAAACACAAACTCTAAGAGAAACTTCAAATAAAGAAACAACTGGAACCCAAGAAATAAGAATCAGATACAACAATTATATTTAATAACAACTGATCTAACACATCACTAGGAAGAAGGAGAACAATCACTTGGAAGCATCATAAATCTACACCTCCAGCCAGTCATGAAGGATGATGAATCTGCACCTCCGATCAGTCACCAAAGTTGGTAAAGTTCGCACCTTCAATTGAAGCCATAGAAAGGATCTCTCCAGAAAAGACAAGATCATAGCAATTTGCAAAATAACAATCAAAAAAAAAAAAAAAAAAAAAAAAAAATTCCTCTGGGAAAAAGAAAGTAAAAAAAAAAAAAAAAAAACCTCTGGGAAAAAGAAATGTTATACAGCTAGTTCACAAGATACTAAAAAGACATATCCAAATAAGAATAAGGAAAAGACCCCCAAAAAATAGAGCATCACCAAAAAATAGAAAACAAACATCAACAATAATAAGAGCTTAGAACTTACCTGTAAATAAATATTAAAATTTCATCCAGGTAATATGACTATTAAAATCAAAAGATTGCTAATATTCAAAAATGCGATTTAATTTTATAATAATTGGAAATCCTCAAGGTTAATTCCAATCTCAGCGCAAATAAAAAGATAAAGAATAAAAGTTCAAACTATAAAAAAAAATAAACAAAACAGTAAAATATGAAGATTAGAAACAGTAGTAAAACACTTGAGCCAAAACAGGACCAGAAAGGAGAACAACCACTCAAAATTAGCAACGATGCAACCAAATATTAAAGAAACTAAAATCTGCAAAAAAAAGAGAAAAATAAGCTACATGAGTTGGCGCTCATGTTGCTTTTTTGTAAGATGATCAGAGCTGAGAAAGATTGAATATGGTGACAATTTGGTTTAAAAAGATAAAGAATAAAAGTTCAAACTATAAGAAATAATAAACAAAACAGTAAAATATGAAGATTAGAAACAGTAGTAAAACACTTGAGCCAAAACAGGACCAGAAAGGAGAACAACCATTCAATATTAGCAAGGATGCAACCAAATATTAAAGAAACTAAAATCTACACATTCAAATGACGACATAATAGAATCTCTCCAAACTAGTCAAGACCATAGAAAACAACAAGATAAATCACAAAACAAAACCACAAAAAAGAACAACACTAGGAAATATAAAGGATAAAATACATGCATGGTCACACTAGCAAGCTTACGAGCATAAATCTAGACTTGTGAAAATGAATTTTCTATTTTTTATCACCTTTTATTGTCAATATGCCTGTGTTCATATAAATTACCGCTTTCTCAAGGTTTTCACACTAGTTTTGTTGTAATGTTTGATTTCAACATCAAAACTTAACTTGACATAAGAAAAATTATTCATAAGAGCTTTTTTAAAAAAAAGGAAATTAGAAAACTTTAAAGAATCAAACAAGGAGATAATAAGTAAGCTCCAAAAGAATAAGTGAACTCCAAAATGAAGTAGTAGAAGAATTTCCTAAATCAAGTTAAAGCATCCATGAGCCTATTTAAAGGTTCAATCGAAGATATGAAAGCAATCTTAAGCCAAATTGTCACCATATCCAATCTTTTTCAGCTCTAATCATCTTACAAAAAAGCAACATGAGCGCCAACTCATGTAGCTTATTTTTCTCTTTTTTTGCGCTCAAAAGGTTGTCACATTGGTTAGAAAAGAATTTAGAATCATGCAAACCACGTTCAAGCCCTCGCACAGCTCAAGGAAAAGTTAGCAGGATAGGCCAAATGTGCCGAGCTTCTAATCTAAATAAAGCATTTACATCCATATTCTGCTAAAATTTCAATAACAAAAGCTTTAAAATGTCCCAATAATTCCAATTAATTTATTTTTTCATCACAATACTCGTGTCAATTTTTCATGAAAAGAACTGTTCACTAATAATTTTAATTTATTTATATCCTTGCCTTAAAATCCTTGATATACTATTAGGTCAATAGTATAATCTTTTCTATCTCATGTATAAAAGAGGAAAGAGAGGGGACCTTCTTATTCCCTCTTCAACTCACTTTTCTAAGGGCTCTAGATCTTTTTCCTTAAGGCTCTTTCTCTCTCTCTCTCTCTCTCTCTCTCTAAAATTTTGTGAGTTGCAGAAACCTCCCAAAAGCCATTTTTATTCGGCTGATCTGAGATAAAAAATTAATATTTTTCCTAAGGTTCCTTCCAAGAATCACTTTCATCTCACTCTCTCCTTGTAGTATTCTTCCTATAATACTGGATCCTTCACCAAGTTGTATACACTCATGCACACCCTACGCCCTAAAAGGATTCGAGAAATATAATTAAATATAAAAATAAAAATGTAGGCAATGTGCATGAAAGAGAGTGATCAAGTGATTAATCAAAATATGAACAATCCTACTAGTGACCTCATACTTAATAACTACAGTGTATAAATGACTGAATAAGATGTAACTAAGATGCTGTTTGCATAGTGTTTTGATTGCTTCTACTTAACTAGTTAATTCACTTTAATCCTTATATGAATGCTTAAAAAATTTTATAATTAATTACTACAATTATAAGCCAAAATATATGTGACAAGTAACACAAGATGTCACATATTATAAAGCGAGTGGTCTATAATTAAGCAGTACGAATGTAAAAGCCCCAAATTTTATAAATCTATGTATTTGATTTATAGCACGCTAGATCCGACCAACAAGTCCCCACATGTACTCCATCACTCCTATCATCATTTCAAACAAAAATTTACAAACGCAACATCCAATTCTTATGCATTTACGTATCTCATGCCTTACCCATACACGAAATTATGGATTTCACTGTTACACACTGTTGAAAAGTGTGACTTGAGTGCTTAGTTTGTAAAACTGGAATGATTATTTTGTGTGCGCTGTTCAATAAGAATTATGGCCCACTAACATATATTTTTGGTGTGTTGAAAAGTGTGACTTGAGTGCTTAGTTTGTAAACTGGAACGATTATTTTGTGTGCGCTGTTCAATAAGAATTATAGCCCACTAACATATATTTTTGGTAGAGCGATTATTTTGATTGGTTCACCACATGCATTTCTGTGTGGGTTGAACGTACGCAATAATTTTTAAGGGTATTAATGGGAGATACGTGATAAATGCTTCAGAATCCGGTGTTGTGTATGTAAATACTCCCATTTTTAAATATATTAACTAGTTTATTTCTTTTTTTTTAATAGTTTATATATAAATGAAATAAATTTAAGGAAAAATTATATACATAGCACCTAAATCTTATGGATTTCATATCTCACACCTAAATTTTTATTTTAAAAAAATGCTGATAATGATTACTATTTTTATATGATTGTGAAAGTTTAGGCGTGAGATGGATAAACATGAAAGTATTTGATGTTACGTGTAAAAGCCCCCTGAATTTAAACGTCACAGAGATGAACTTCTTTTGTTTGAAAGATTCGAAACGATCCGCGGTAGGCGCTGCCATTCCGGCGTTTGGCTGCTTAGGGTCGCGAAACCGTCGTCCTCGATTAAGCGGCGGCGGTTTTGCCTCTTGGGAGTGAAATCAGACCCAGTCTTCCATCTAATCCAGTAAGCTGTAGCTCTTTTTGGATAACCTCTACTCTCAATTCATCACTCCGTGTAATAAATTTGTGGAAGTAACTGCGAGAGAGAGTTATTTCAAGCGTTCCTTCTTCTATACGGTTTCTTTGGAGGAAAATGGAGTGCTTGTTGATCGGCAATCCGTCTAGGATCAGGCTTGTGCCGCGGGCCTTGCCGACCAAAGGATACAGGAAAAGCTTGCGTTCTGAAGTTTTAAAATTGGGAATTTCGAAGGGAGGTAGAAAGGGAATCTTTCCCCTCTGCTGCTTCAGCTTTTTTGATGAAGATGTACGTCGTGTTCTTCTATTGATTATCCTGTGCCTAATGTTGGATAAAAGTTTTTTTTTTTTTTAATGCTGTTCGATTTTTAATTTGTTTTTGTAAGGTAGAATTGTTCTTAACAAATTCACATTTAAATTATTCATAATTTATAAAAAAGCAAAAGTTGTCGAATTTATCCGAGTGATTGTAAAATAATTGATCTTCTTATGCTTCACTAATCTGAAGCTGCTGTTTTTACAGTATTCCCCCTATAAAGCGGCAATGAATTTACTTAACAAAGATTTCATTACAAATTATGCTGAAGTCAGTGAGTGGGAAAGTGGGAAGTCTCAGGAAACGATACTAAAAAATCAAGGCATAATGATTAGAAGACGACCTCCTTATGGACCTCCATCTCACACAGTAGCACCTCGCAATATTTTGGAGAAAATTATTTGGGACAAGGAAGTTGAAGTTGACCAGGTATTCTCAGGTCTACACAAGAGCAATTTCATAAAATTTCCTTTTTATTAAGGATTTTGCTTCCGTTTTGCTTTTGTTTTCAGTTAAAACAGAGAATGCCGTTAGACATGATCACCGAAGAGCTTAAGAATGCTCCTCCTGTCAGAGATTTTATACTGGCTTTGAAATTTGCTCATCAACAAACTTTTAAGCCTGCTTTGATTGCCGAGGTGAAAAAGGCTTCTCCAAGCAGTGGAGTGCTTCGGGAGGACTTTGATCCTGTATGATATTTTTATATTTCCTTCTGTCATTTGGTTCATTTTTCTGAACTGGAAGCTTCTTAATAGTCAAAAAAATATTTATTCCCTGGTTGTTTGGGATCACTTTCATATGTTGTTGATATTCTTACTGAGTTTATTTTTCTACTCAATTTGGTTGATAAATGGCCTTTGGGGGCGTGGGGCGCTTCATTTCCACTCGAAGTAGTTTAGAATCCACCTGACTAATCTCAATATTACAAATGGATTTCCAAATTCATTAAGAACATGATTGCCTACAACTACTCAAAACCAAAGTAACAAGTTATCAGCAACACAAACAATGATCTCAAAAGAGGGGAGGGGGGAGTTCAGAATCCATCCGACTAATCTCAATATTAAAAAAGGATTTCCAAATTCATTAAGATCATGATTGCCTACAACTACTCAAAACCAAAGTAACAAGTTATCAGCAACACAAATAATGATCTCAAAGCAATTTGGCTGCATGGTTGGCTGTTCATCGGTTTCTAAAAGACTACGAGATAGGCTGGTCAAATAATTTGGATGATGTTCAAAACAAACTTAAAGATCTCATAGTGTGGGAATTTAAAGTTAGCATGAATCTGGTTGGCCCACAAAAATGTATCAGAAGACTTTTCAACCAATATCTCGAGTGTGCCAATGATCACTTAACCTGAATTATCTTTGGTTAAAACATTTAGGGCTTATTTGGGTTTACTTTTGTTTTTTTTATTTTTTAGTTTTTGTTTTGCTTTTATTTTAAAAACATGTTTATTTAATATATTTTTTGTTTTAAAAACAAACTAGCTTGTTTTTAAAAATACTCAAAATATTTAAAAGTTGTTATGAATGTTTTTAAAAACAACTAAACTTGATCATACCAAAATGTTTTGTTCTAAATTAAAATATAAACAAAATAAAATAAAAGTAAAAGGCAAAAAACGAAAATCAAAAGTGATCCCAAATGGCCTCATAGAATTTACAAAAATTTTAAACTATTCTTTACAACATTGTTGTTTTCTATATAAATATTGTGTGAGATTTATTTCAAAAATTCATTTAAGGTTTGATTAATATTGGATAAGTGATTAAAGAAAACCTATATTAAAATTATTTTGCATCGCTATTGAGGGACTCTATGTTCATGACTTACTAGGGCCATAAGGTTCCTTTCATGGCAGGCTCCAGGAAAGCTTGATATAGGCAGCCTTTTTCTTATATGAGAGAGGTTGTTTCTTGATATATTTCATTTTACAATGGTGCAGTCTAATGACTGCACCGTGGTTAGTTCCCTAATTTGCTATGTTCAATAGGCATATCATAATAGGCCTCCAGGCTATGTTCAATAGGCATATCATAATAGGCCTCCAGGTGGAAGTTATGTGGAATAATCATTGCTTTGAGTGTAATTTTAACATTCATAATTGATATTTGTGGGCTAAATTTTATTTTGGTAAGTAGTTTTAATTATTTGATTCATTTTTAGACTAGATAGGAATTCAACAAGAAAGGCTCAAGAGTATGGTCATGAGACCTGAATTTTTTTGGGAAAATAAAATTACCATGTTGAATTTTAAGTTAAGAAGAGTGTAACACTGTTGGTTAGAGAAAAAGATTTGATAAATATTTTAAATTTATTATGTATAGAATGGGCATCATTATGCCTCATCATAAAGCATATTAGTATACAATAAGTATGTTGAATGTGTAAGTTGTAGAGTTGTAGTGTTTTTGATTGTTTTCAAAATTGTGAACTTAAATACTCCGTGGAAGGATGGATAGAATGATAGACGAGGCAAACTATAAGTAGGGTTGTGATCTTTAGGTGACAAACAGGTAGATGAATGAATGGAGCGTGGCCTTGATATGATTTTCTTTACTATATGGTTTTTACATTCTACCACTACATTTCGAAGGAAGAATTTATGTGCTATCTCCTTGATCGGATACAGTATTTATTTTGTATCATGGTTTCTTTCCATGTAATTATTATAAAGACTTACATCTTATCTCCTAATCAATCCAAGTTTTTCATAAATTTTTTAACTATCCGGGACTAAATTTCCTCAATTGTTTGTTGCCAAACTTGTTTTTCACATCTTCTCATCGTATTAATTGAATTCTTTTCCTCCCACTTCTTCTTTGTTAACATTATCTTGTTCCCACTTTTACTGGTATGTTTTTAAAAAACTATCTTGACTCTTAACTATTTTTAATCCGGTTTCGGGTTTTCCTATGAAAGCTGGGTTTCAACTAGTGTTGAATTCTTTCTTTTATCAATAGTACTCTAAAAATACCCATATTAAATTTGTTTTGTTATTTTCCTTATATTTTGGAATAAAAAAGTATCATACAAATTCTTGTTACTTCTATGTTTTTCAAAATATTAGTTAAGAATGTAGTAACTGAATCAATGCTTCATATAAGAATCTGGAACGTAAGCCAAATACAACTTAAAATCCTAGATGACTACATCTATGACTTCCTATTCTTTTTAGTTTTTTTTTCCATAATGGCATATTACCCTCTAGAATATCCGCCATTCTTACTTTAGTTTTAACTGCTTTTAATGATTTCAATGTAGAGGCTGGTATTTTAAAATAGGGGTATGTACATACCTACGACCCAATTCCTATGTATTTACATATTTAACACCTAAAATATACATTTTACATTTATAGCACCCAAATCTTTCACACCACACCAAAAATACCACTATTTTGACTTTTAAAAGGTGAAATACACCTTGTCATGCGTAGGGAAGGTGGCATAAATGTAAGAATTGATGTTTAGGTGTTAAATATGTAAATACATAAGAATTCAGTGGTATGCATGTAGGCAAATCATCCTTTAAAACAATATAATCCATTCTCTATTTATTTTTCCGTCCATCATGCAAAACTAAAATGAACTAAATCATTAGATTTGACAGGTCCAAATAGCTCTTGCTTATGAGAAGTATGGAGCAGCATGTCTGAGTGTTTTGGCTGATGAAAAGTATTTCCAGGTGAGTATATTGCGGTGGAAACATAATTAATGTTGTTTTAGAAGTTTTCCAGGGAAAGAACCATAAGATATTCTGATCTCTTCTAACATATTTCCGTTCTAGGGAAGCTATGATAATTTGGAGGCCATTAGGAGAGCTGGTGTTGAGGTTTTGTAGCTTCACATATATTTCAAATATGATTTTTCTTTTTTACTTTATTATGAGATTTATTTATCGTCAGTGTACAATCTGCTTAATTAGAGAGTGCTTGCAGTGCCCGCTTCTCTGCAAGGAGTTTATTGTTGCTCCCTGGCAAGTTTGTTATGCTCGTTTGAAAGGGGCAGATGCAATCCTTTTAATTGCTGCTGTATTGGCTAACATTGAAATCAAGTATGTTTCTATGATGTGTGATAAACTCGGCATGGCTGCTCTGGTTGAGGTTCGTGATCTTGATCATTACGTATTACATTTTCACTGCTGCTTTTTTGATAAAGCTCCAATTATTTTTTTGATATTGCATGCATGCTTTATTAAAGGCATTATGCTCTCTCATGGAGTACCTAATATTTGAGGCACTAGGCGTCACCTTGGGCACTTTAGCTTAGTGAAGTGATGTGATAAATGAATTTATGTATTTTAATTATGAGTAATATTTTTGAAGAGTACAATATGATAATCCTAATTATAAAATATTAAAATGCCAATATGTTTGCTTAGATCAAGAGTCGTCTTTTCCAAAAAAAAGGTCGTTCAATTATATCTTGAAAGCAGGAAGTAATGCTAGCGGGATGTATAGAGGCTTATCTAATAGTGTCCTAGTATGTGCTACATTTCTATATTGTTAACTCTAGTCTTTAAATGGTTGAGGGCACAACGATGTAATATTTTTGGTTAAGTTGTAATATAGTTGTTTATATAATTATTTAGTGCTCTTATATTTTCTTTTAGGTGCATAATGAAAGAGAAATAGACCGTGTTTTGGGCATTGAAGGAATAAAACTTATTGGCATCAATAACCGTGACCTTGGTAAGTTAATTTGCATTGCAGTTTAGTATTTATATTGTCTAGCCTTCTGTTTTTTTTTTCCTCCCATGATCAATTTACAGTTTTTTCTCACGAGTAAGCTTTCTCTGATATTATCTTTTTCTGAAACGCTAGAACTAGACATATTCTTTTTACTCTTTTTTATGGCTCATGTCATGGAACTGTTGGAGATCTCATTCTTTTACCTCCTTTAGTATTTTCTACTTTGTGGTAGCTTTGCCGAAAAGTGGTTACCAGTTTGTAGTTTCGCAAATTGATTCTGCTCACTTTGCAATAACTATAAATGCTTGTATGCTAATTCCTTCACTTTCTCCTTAAATGAGATTCAGATGTTTTGTTGTTCAACCCTGATATCATCTTTTTTTTTTTTTGTTAAATTTTTTTCCCTCTTTTTTCTTTTTCCTGCTTGTTATTCTTCTTCATGTTTCATAGTTCATTGTCCCGCCATCTGATGTAATTTTGTACTATATGCTTATCCAAGTTTCTTTAAGGAGGGTACCATCTTTTGAGACAGCTCTTGGTTTGAGTTGACTCCATGCTGAAATGCATAGCTTAAACTACTGCTCTGCCAAGTTTTTTTTAATAAAAAAGAGATTCACCACATTAGCTATTTTTGTGGAGTGGTTTTCAGATAGGCGTAGTAGTTCAGGCGCAGGATGAAGCATTATGAAATTTAGTATGGACATTGTAAATTTACAATGAAATATCGAAAAAAAAGGAGATGATCAAAATATGGTAAGTATATTTGAAATAGAATAGTGGAATAAGGCCCAACATGGACTTCTGAAATGCTCTTGGGATCTAGATGTCACCTTCCACTCTTTTGTAGTTTTAGGAAGATAGAATAATAAGAGAATTAAAAGCATATTAATTAGTTATGGATTTCCCCTAGCTGAAGGTGAATTGACTAAGATTTATTTTAATTTTGGGGCATTGAGGTTTCCAACTGTGTTGATGACTTTAGATTTATATGGAGGGAATGATTGGAATGAATGACTTGCCCAACTAAGCTCTCATAATTTTGTCATTCTAGTAGATATAACGATAGATAGCCAATGTATGTTCATTCAGAGAGTCTGATTAACAGCCATGAATTGACTATTATCATGCATCCCATGTAGACCAGGATTACATCTTGCTAATGAGCGTCCTCTATTTCATGGTTTGATGATTTTCCTTAAAAGAAAAAATGCATTATGTTTCCAAGCTTTGCCGACTTCCATACAAAAGTGTGAGTTGATGATCACCAAGGATTCTATAGCTTGGTTTGACATATTCACTAAAATTGACTTTGGAGACTTGAAGCATGCTGAGTACATAGATGAGGTATTGACTCCAGCTTTGGGGGTTTGACATGAGCAATTCAACAATTTTGGGATGAATTTTGGATCCACCATGAAAGAGGAGTACATGAAGCTATATTGGCTGGATATGGTTTTCTTTTTGTGAGCACATTTTGTAGTTGTAGTTTTATATTAGAAATTTGACCGAACAGAATCTTTTAGGGTCCATTCCTTATTGTTGAGATTATTAATTGTGTGGTAAATGATTTTTTGTCGTAACTATCTTTTTCCTTTAAAGGGAACCCTGCCTAAATGTTAAATTCAGGTTCGATTGATTAACATTATGAGCCTAATAATGTTAGGAAGACGATTTACATTCAGAAGGATTGCAGAGATTAAACTAAAAAGAGGCAAGAGCATGCAATTTTGATAATAAAGAAGCCTAAAAGTGGCCTATACCTTTGTCGGCCGTTTTATCGTTCACTTCACTTTCGTAGTTTGGAAACGGTGATGATTTTGTGATTTTGAAAATAATTTAAATATAAATATAACTTTTTTTAAAGAAGTAACGTTTTTAATTTTTAAAATAAGTGAGACCAAACAGTCTCACATTTTAAATAGCTTAGATGATTTAACACAATACTACAAGCAATACACTTATCCCGAAGAATAAATATATTACTTTGTAATAGGGATTCAATCATCTAGACTAAACAATTTGTGACATCCGTTTGGTCTGCGAAATATTTTTATAAAAAGGCCAACAAGTTCCCCTATCTAACATAAAAATTAGATAGGGTTTATTTTATCTGGGTTCCTGGTTCCCTATAGAGGCAAGCCCCTATAGTTAATTACATCTTAAATGATCGAAATCACTTAAGAAAACTCTCGATTAAGATCAGGTGGTTTTGCTTTCAAGATTTCAAAGTTTAGGTTTTCACAATTGGACATGGGAAAATCAAATGGGAATGGCTCAAAATATGAACAATTATTTAAGGAATCTCAAAATAGGAACAATTATTTAAGGAATTCAAAGGGAAGAAAAGTAGGGGACATCACAGATCCAGGAGAAACCCCAGAGATGTCCCAACTATCTTATTATTCGGCTTTATGTTTTTGAAATGATGTTTATTTGATATTTCAATCCTGCAAATTATTTAAGCCTTAGGACTTATGTTTGCACAACGTCAGACTGTGCAAATAGCCTAAAAGACAGAAGGATTTACACCATACCGTACGGTAACCTCGGAATCCTAAAACGTTAGGACTTATAATTGTACAACAGAGTTGTACAAAAAGCCTAAAGAGTGATCCTATGGGTTGTTTAAACTAAAGAAAGTGTTAGGTGATGTGAATGTGTTTTGTTGCTGCAGATTCATCTTGAAGTTATCCCTTGCCGCGCTGCCCACGATGTTTGCTCCGAGCCTCTCGTAGTAGCACCTCCTGGTTAGTTTTAATTTTGAAAATACGCCTAATTACTAGATTATCCTAAACTAAGGCATAGTGTATCAGAGTAACTAAGCATGCAGTGTGAAAGAAAAGTAAGAGGGCACTGTATAGTAAAGAGAAAAAGACAATATAACATGCTTAAAGAAGAACAAAACATGCTAGGGAAGCAGTATAACAGGCTACACATGAAAGACAGTAGCAGGTAGAAACAAGACAAGTGTAACATGCTTCACAGGAAGAACAGTAGGAAAATATGCTATACAGGAAGAGCAATAGCAGGTAAAAGTAGGAAAATAAAATGCTGTAAAATGTAAAGCAAACCTGTACGCACCCGTGAGATCAGATGTTCCTTAAGTGTAGCAAGCCTAAATGCATCTCAAAAAGCAAAATCT